TGCCCACAGCGTGCATTTTGAGCGTTTTGTTGGGTTGTATGGCGCATTTTAAAGCATTCTGCAGCCCCCCAAGAGCCAGCATCATGAGCATCATAGGGCCTGTTTGGGCCCCCAATTTCCTTCTTGACACCACACATACGAGGCTCCAAAACTCTAGGTATGTTGAGGTGGTATTTACAGCCACAAACACTGCCCACAGCGTGTATTTAGAGCGTTTTGTTGGGTTGTATAGCGCATTTTAAGCACCCTGAAGCCCCCCAAGAGCCAGCATCATGAGCATCATGGGGCCTGTTTGGGCCTTCTTGACACCACGCATATGAGGCTTCAAGACCCCTCCAAAACTCCAGGTATCTTGAGGTGGCCAAAAGTGAGAAATGAAGGCCCAATGTGCTGATGATGCTGGCCTAAAAAGACATGCCCCGAACCCTCCGTAGCGTGGGGGGAAGCCTCAACAATGCAGCCAAACATCATCCTAATTTTGGACCCGCAAAAACACGCCTCCGGGTCTCCAAGCGGGTCGGCGGTCTGTGCCGCACCCCCTATAAGCATAGCTTAGCTAGGCGTGCATCCGCACTGGACCATGACGGCCAGGCCGGACTTACGAGCCTCCGGCTCAGTCCGCCGACCCCAGAGGCGGAGAAGGGACGGACGCGGCGTATCAAAGCGACGACGCAATCGGACCACGCAACGCGGCAAGTGGAGGGTCGCAACGTGGCATGTGCGGTTGTGACGGGACCCCGCGCCGCTCAGACGTCAGTGTTTCGCCCACGCGCGCGCGAACGCATGCGTGCGGCATGCGCGTGTATTGGGTATTGCCGGACGCACAGGCGCAAAACGGGTTCCCGCCTCCGCACGCGTGTGCTCGAAGAGCTCGCACGAGACTGCGTCGGCAATACATCACAGAGAGTAAGACGATCAGAACATACGGAGCCGCAAACGGCTGGTTCGGAGGCGCGTGCGTGCGAGGGTTGCAGTCACGGCAAATGGCGGCTGACGTACACGCATGCGCATTGCGAATCCGTGAGGGAAGGCCGGGCTTCTTTCACCCTGGGTTTGGCCACCAGAACTAGGGGTGAAGGAAGGCGGGTTTCTTTCAGCCCCTGCTTTCCAGGGGGTCTGAGGCCCAGGCCCCCAGGGGTCTGGGGCCCGGGCCCCCAATACCCTTGGGGCGCCAGATAAAAAACGGGAAACGGTATTCCGTTTCTGCAAAATCTCTTGGTGGGAGCCTGGCGAAGGGGTGGGAGTCGGCTGAAACGGCTGCTGTGGAGGAGGGAAACGGACACGGGATACCCTCCCTACCCCCCCCGTTTCTACGCTGTACGGGAGAAAAGAAGGGGGTTTGGATGCCTTCTGGAGTCCAGTTCCGAAGTTCATTTTCCATGGAGCTTCAAGGCCACCAGATCCTACCAGCATGTAGGATGATTTGGGCGCGACACGCTGAACACCAAATCCTGAATCCACGCATCCCACGCTCAAGTCTTCGAGACGTCATGTTGCTTTGTCCGAGGACAAGCCGGGTGTTGCTCTCAACATGGCGCTGAAGTCAGAAAACCTGGAAAGGGCCGGGCATCCCTGCTTGTCGTGTTGCTACCATGCCATCCTGTTTGCCAAAGTTTGACGGAGTGTTTTGTCCTGGAGGTGACATCAACACCCAGTGCCAAGCCAGCCAGAAGCCCGGGCATGAAGAGATGTTTCTTTGGTCGTGACATCTCGTGACAGCTGTGCCGTTTTTCTGTACGCACCGTGCATGCGGCCAGGTACCAGCGGCATCAACAGGTTCCTCATCATTGCCAGCTGCAAAGTCCGGTTTTGCACCTCCCTCTCGCAAGCCAGTTCAGGCGCATGGCAGTCGCAGCAGTGTCGCAGCATGTTCTGTCCTGGTCACCCTTGAAGGCCCCGGCAGCAAAAGGTGCAGCAAGTCGTGCAGCAAATGGTGCCGCGAATGGTTCTGCAAATGGGGCCACGAATGGTGCGGCCAATGCAGCAAATCGTGCAGCGAATGGTGCGGCAAATGGTGCGGCAAATGGTGCGGCACATGGCGCTTCAAATGGCGCTTCAAATGGCACTTCAAATGGCGCTTCAAATGGCGCTTCAAATGGTGCTTCAAATGGTGCGGCGAATGGGGCGGCAAATGGGGTGGCAAAGCCTGCTGGGGCTTCTGTGGAACCCAGGCCAGGACAACACTTTTGGCGATCCTGAGGCTTGCAATGCTTTCGTGACAGGAAGGAAAAGCCAGCAGCCGCTCCGAAGGAAGCAAAGCCACAAGAGGTGCGCAGGGCCTTGATGTCTTTGGCCTAATCCTTGGCAGTTGCTTTTTAGGCTCTTGCTTTTCCTGATAGGATGACGACCTGTCTGCCTTTTTGCCCAAAGTGCTGAGCTTGAAAGCAGAGCCTGAAACTTTGCAATACTCTTGGGCATCCAGATAAGGTCGGAGCTGCTGAGGAAGAAGGCCTGCAGAGGAAGATCGTATTCGTGGCATGTGAACTGAGACTGGCTGGAAGAGGTGAAGACGACTTGATGTCCCGAATCCTGGCAGCTGAGCGCAGTTCGGATGCGACGGAGGCAGACCTCATGGAGGGGACCCACTGTTGGACATGATGTCTTGTCTCGGATTGCAGGATGCCTCCAAGACTGAAAAGCCAAAGCCGGACAAGCAAGGCGAGAAGGACACACAGCCCGCAAAACCCACAGTGGTGCCGGTCAAAAGGCCACTCTCTGCAAAGCCCAGCCCAGTGGTTGCGAAGTTGGCAAGTAAGCAGATTGCCAGGTTGCAGCTTTCGCTGCAAGGCCTGCTGGGGATGCGCGTTTGGGCAGCCCCGCACGCAGAGCGTACGCAGAGTGTGGATTGTTTCTTGTGCATGAGTGAAGTTTGGATTGAGCCTCTTGAGGGGCAACGAGGTCATTGGTGATTCTCCTGATGCAGAAGACATCATCGATCACTTGATGGACCGCCATGGGCTTTCACTGCAACGGTCAGTTGAGAAGTTTGGCCTGCATATTGAATGAACTTTTTGGGTCCCCTCATTTTTGCATGCTGCCGTCTTGGCAGGACTGCGGCAAGACTGTCTTTAATGTTGGAAGCGGAGAGGGCGCACACTTCTCCTCAACAGCTGGATCCTCATCTTCCCGACACGGGCTGCAGCAATGCGATGCAAACCGTCTTGGCCAGATAGTTGGTTGTCGATTGGACCTGGGTCCCTGATCACTGCAATGCAAAACCCCTGATGGTTGTGCCACCGTGGATCAAGGCAGAACTCAACATGGACCCCAACCTGCCAAAGACTGAAGCACGAGTCTCGGGTTAGTGAGATATGCTGTTGTACAAGCTGCTTGGCGCGGCACTCCGCCTCGTGCTTCTAACAGCAGCTGTGCTTCCCTTTCAACCTCCTGTCTGTAGGTGCTGGCGTTCATCGACCCCAAGGATGGTCCATGTAGTGCACAGCACGGTCATCAATCCTACAACTCGATGAGTACTCAATGTAGGCCATGTCTCCTGAGCTCAAGGACTCCAGTGCTGTCCTTGCTGCTCTGAATGACGTCGTGAGGCTGTCGATGCGCGTCTTGTGGCTGCATCAGACGTCAAGCCTGTCTTTCACAGGCTGGGGGTGCATGGCCTGGCGCTGCATCCCAATGCAGCTTGGCTTCTTTGAACTAGACACCTCGTAAAGGACTGCAGCGCACAAGCTGCAGGCAATCGGCTTGCACCGCCTGCCTTTGACAAAAATTGTACTGTAGTTACAGGCTTGACTGTCGCGCTGAGGAAGACTCATTTGGTCCGGAAGTCTTAGCTGAGTGCAGAAGTGCAGGCTCGAGTGCAAGGCCATATACTGTATGAGAAAGATTTTCTTCCCCCTTCTGATCAGGCATCATCACGCATGGTGTTGATGTTCTTGAAGATGTGCAGCCTGGCAGACCCCTTAGTAGACTCGCAAATGGGCTCATGATTCCCACTGCAGCCGTGCTCAGGAGCAGGCCTTCCAGTGGCCCCTTTAGACTGAGCACTTTGGATGCTTGTACAGCCAGTTTGCCAGAGCTAGCAAAGCATCTGGAAAAGCTTTCAGATGATCCTTCTCATTCTGCGATGCCTGAGGGACGCCCAATACAATCCTTCACGATTTCGTTCTGTGAAGCGTTCTCACATAGCTGTGTAGATTGTAGTTGCCCGCAAACTAGCCATGGAAGGCATCTCCGATGTTGCGCAGGTTTTCAAGGTTTACTGGGCGTTGCTGCTGGGAAACATTCTTGAATGGTATGAGTTCGCCATTTACAGCTTCCTGGAGCCATACTTGGAAATCAACTTCTTTGGTGGCTCTGCCATCTCAACTTGGTTGGGATTTGCGTGCACCTTCGCAGCTCGACCGTTCGGCGGCATCGTGCTTGGGCTTCTTGGAGATCTCTTCGGGCGAAAAGTTTCAACGTTCCTCTCGATCTGCGGAATGATCATCGGCACCGTGGGCCAAGGACCGGAGGGCCTTGTTGAGACCATGCCCACCAGAACGTTGAAGGGCATTTCACTCTTTTGTCTGTGTCGCAGGCTTGGTGCCCAGCTTCCAAAGTGGCAAAGTGGCTGGGACTATTGGGCTTGTGCTGTTGGTTCTGCTGCGGCTCCTTCAGGCCGGGCCCCTTCACGGTAGCCCTAGCCTGAGCTGACAACTTTGAAGGACTAGTAGCGCGCGTGGAGGCGATGCTTGCAGAGCTGCATCGCTGTAATGCCGAATGTCGAAGATGATTGCTGGCTTAAAGGAATTTCCACGGGGCGCCTGGTAAGCTACTTTAACCGCTAACGCGGGACCGCCTCGGCAAGGGTAAAGGAGAGCTGCAGACCCATGAACTCTCTTCCAAACCCATCCCCCGCAAGAAGTTTCACTTGCTTGTCGCATCTTATGCATTTCGTGCCGCAGGACCACAACTCACTTTTACCACCAAAACAGGGAGGGTCCAGCGGCTCAGACCCACACCAGCCTGCGCGGAACCTGGCCGAGCAGCCAAACCCCCTCTGCCCCTCCGAAAACCGCCGGGAGCGGGTAGGGGGAGGGTTAACTTACTCTCCTAGTCTCCGAACCTTGATCTAAACGCCCCAGGCCTCCGGCCTAGGCGGATTTGTCAAGTTGAATGATCCAGGACATGAGGGCAGGAGACCGAGGACATTTGTCAAGTGAGCACTTTCCATCATTTTCCATCAAAAGAGCCCAAAGCAACACAGGCACATGGTATCCATGAATGCAGTGATGCAGCGCAAAGACCATCCAATCACTACCTCCCCGCTCAACAGTCATGTCACTCTGGAGGCGGCAAGGCAGGAGGATTATCGAATCATCATCGAAGCCCAAGAGATGAGAAAACTACCTAGCCGAAATTATAACTGCATCACTCACCGGCATCAAGACGCAGTGGCGCAGAAGTAGCAGGCCCAGCTAAGTTTGACAGAAAGGATGTAAAATGGCGCCGTTCAAGAATGAGAAGCGAGAGTAAGGCAGCGCTTCGTGGTGAAATGGCTGTGAATACTCTTCAGACATCCCAACCTTGGCAGGGCATCTGTACCGGCGGTGAGATCGCAGCTGTCTCCACCTATATCACTGAAGTTGGTCCAAAGAGATCCCTGGCGCGGTCTATGGCCCTGATAGGAATCACCGCAAACGCGGGCTTCCTTCTGGCGCAACTTGCCAGCTACTTGACACGTGAGGCAGTAGGTGTTACTGCTATGGAGAACTGGGCATGGCGCATCCCCTTCATCATCGCTATCATCCCGGGCGCTGTTGCTGCCCAGACCGCATTTGCAAGGGTAAGCGGGTATCTTTCCGCTCTAGATAGTGAGCATGTGTACCTTCTAATCTAAGCTTCTCTGAGGCAACTGCTGGGCGGCGCTGCATCCCCGAGTCACAGGTCTTCCTGGAGGCGAAGGCCCAGGCAGACGCCACAGCGCAGGTGTCAGAAACCAGCTGGGATTCAGCAGATGGTGCAGTTTCAGTCACTGTCGTTGCGGTCCCGGCTGAAGGCTGTAGATGTGAAAGAAAGTTATGAAAGCCGTGATGATATTCCTTTGAAGACGTCCATGCTTGATTGTGCTTGTTCCAGGTGCAGCTCGCCAGGCCATGACCCGCATCAAGCACCTGATTGCATCGCAGTGGCTAGCTCTGCTGGTAGGAATCGGCAGTGTGGCAGGAGTATCTGTCCTGCAGTACGGCGGATTTCTCTGGGGCAATGTGTTTTTGAAAAAACATGGCGCAACACCCGACAGTTTGATAGCAGCAGGAACTACGGCACGTTTGTTGTCAATTGTTCTTGCACCCTTTGTGGCTTGGCTAGCTGACACAGTGGGAATTGGTTGGATTCAACTGGTTGGTACGCTGGTGCTGACATTCGCTGGACTGCCACTCTTCCTGGTACAGAAGTGGATGCCCGATAGCTTCAGCATCGTGATTGCAGCCTATGGAATTGGCTATGGAACAATCTTCGGTCTGGTCGGGATGATATTCTTCTTGCTCGTCGTGGAACTATTCCCGGTGGAGGTGAGGAATGCGGGTGTGGGATTGAGTCCCTTAGAACGCATTTGTGATTGTTTGTGGGGGTAGCTGGAGGGCACGGCTTGCTCAAGGTTACAACATCGGCTTTTGCTTTTTTGGAGGCTTCGCCCCGACGGTCTTTCAGGCCGGGATCTGCGGGCTTTTTGATTCACTTCACAAAGTGATGGCTTTCTGCATATCTGCGAAGGCAGCGCTTTCATGGCATCCCTGGGGACGGGGTGCAAAAGCAGTCATGAGATCGGGCGGTGGATTGGTTCTTACGCGTGGAAGATGATCCGCATTTCAATCCAACCCTACTCACACCCCAACCAACAATAAGCACAATTTTGAAAGGACTTTACTTCAGGACTTGCTGCCAGGAGGAGTTTCAATTAAATGGATTCAGGGGATGGTTTTAGTTCACTGGGGGGAGACCCAGGAACGTTGTGTGTTTACAGGCCAGAGATGTTCATGTGTTTAGATTCGTATTTAAATATGGCCGTGTGAGACAGGGGCGGGTAACGCAACTATGGGCAAGTGCGCAAGCACCAATACGAAACAAATGACATGAATACCAGGACAGACCCTTACACAACCATTTGGGAGCTAGTGCTGCTTTGCAAAGACTGATGCCAATGTCGCACCGACAGCTTGGGTTTTGCCCTACGCGAGCTGCGCCTGCTCGTGCAGTCGTGCCTGCTGATAGGGACGCTTAGCTCCCCAAACCGCAAGAGACCATAAAAACACTCCTCGGAACAGGCGGGGCTGACTCATTCACTCAGATTCTGACAGGACCTGGATGGCTGATGTCCTTTGCAGGGCTCGCCTCCCTGCTAACATTCGCTGCGAGCATTTGGCTACAAGCTGCTGGGAAGGGAAACTTCCGGCTCGCGCACATCAGGCGGGAAGGGCCGGGCTCCAGTGGTTGAAAAAAAAGTTCATCGAAGCCCAAAGGCCGGAGCCATACTTCGCTTTGTTGGGGCGGACGGCCACGGATCAGATGCACAGAAATACTGAGAAAGTTTGAATGTGGCACAAGCCACGAACCCTTGCCAAATTAATTCGTCACACTCGGCATCCAGCATAGTTATCCACAAGGGAGCAGTTCGAGTCAGGGTGCTGCTGTACAGTGCACAGAAGGACTGGCCATCCTCAGGTATCAGGCCAGTTATCTTCAGGCGAGGTGTCTGCTTAACGTGAGATTTGACGTCTTTTGAAGACTTGAGTCTTGTGCGTTGCCAACTCTCGAGCCAGAGTGCTTGCATGCAGACTTGGCACCTGTGAGTTTCCCATTATCTTGGTTCATGCTGCGCTGATGCTGCGGCAAAAATAGTACAGCAAAACAAATTGTCGGCTTTCCAAAGCTCTGTGGTGCAGCTGTGGCAGTTAAGCATGGGCGGATGACCAGGAAGGTGTGTTTTTCAAGAAGGCTCAAAATGGCGGATTGTATCAACGTAGCAGTAAGGGCAGAATTCCTCTGTCTGTCATAAAACTACGGCACTGAAATTTCACTCTCGTATTCAAGCCTCTTGAAAGGAGATTCAAACGCAGTCTCGTGCAGTTTTCCGCTTGCGTGTCTGTCTCAGAGCATGGCTCCAAGCCCTTCAGAAGGCCAAGCGTAAAATACTTGTTAAAGCCTTGCAGCAGTGGCTTTGATATAAAGGTGAGAGCGATGACCTGCTGAATGAGTCGCAGTCCATCCTGTTCAGCGAGGCCATGCTTTTGAGAGGTAGGACGGGTCTCCTAGCCAGACTTCACAAAAAAGCAGCCTGCAGTTTTCAGATGTTTTCAGCGAAGGGACCTTCTTCCCCGTCCCCTCCGTCACCCCCTGCACACGCCTTATCTCAAGCCCCGTCTTTGCAGAAGGGCTGGGGCCCAAGCCCTTCTAGTCTGCCCAGACCTTGTTGCAGCAGGGTGAGCGGGTGGCTCAACATTCTCTGTGGCTTTGCTCTAGCCAGCCGTCCCGGGCGTTACCCGCAAGTTTTGGGTGAAATCGTCGTAAAACGCGTCTCAAGGAATTATGGTCTTCATTGAGAGCTGTCCTCGCAGGTAAGCAGGCTGTTTGCTGGAGCTGACTTACAAAGCACAGGTTAACATTTCTTTGGTTCCTGAATCCATATCGGGAAGAGGGTTCGTATGCAGCAAAACCGGAAGGTTTCCGGGTTGTTGACATCCCCTGGGCCGCTGGGAATGGTTCGAAATGGTTCGAAGTTTGAATCCTCGCGATGACATTTCAGCGCTTGCGCAAGAAGACACTTCACGAGTAGACATTTCACCAGACGTTTTTTGTTGCTGTGGAAGTTTCCACCATCCACTGACAATGGTCAGTTTGCAATCTAGGGCTTTGCTGGAGCATTCTCTGCTTTGAGACTTTGTGCAGGTGTTCTCGAGCTTTCTCGAAACGGCCTCCACACCGCAGAGAAAAGGACCCAAGCCCAAGGATATCAAGAAGACGAAGGACTCCAAGGATGTGAGCACTTCCAAAGATTCAGGCTGCTGTGAAGTTGCTGTGGAAGTGCAGAGACAATACACGACATGGGCAAATTCAAGCAGCGACCACCTTTTCTGATTCAACGTATTTTCCTTCTCCGAGCTGTATTCTCAATGCAACTTGTAACTAGTCCTGTAAGGGCACCCATATTCCACTACACATCGCGTTCCATTGTCCCCACAGTGCCGTGTAACGGCAAGAAAGATTATCCTCCACAGAAGTACCTGCAAGCTGGATCCCTTGTTGGTAGGTGCCCGTGAAAAGGGTGAGAAGGACAGTCTCAAGGCCAGGAAGTCACGGAGTACAGGATGTGGCGGTGGTAGTATCAGCTTGATCAAGGTCAAGGGGGTTTGCAGGTCTAGAGGCGATTCCTTTGCTAATATTCACAACCCGCAGAGATGAAAGCGATCCAGATCAACATGGGTAGTGACCATTATCATCCATTATCGCAACAGTGATATCTTGATTCTTTTCCTACATGCCATAGCGAGCGAGGGCTTCCCAAAATCATGGTTCTCCTGTAGCCGCCTCAATGTTTGGGCCCTTAGTGCAATCGGTTTCCAGAGCAGGTACAACGGTGAATGGCGACCCCTGCCTTGAACCGGATAAGAGTGTCCTGAGCCTGACGGCTGATATCAACAAGACAACCAGATAACCCAGCATGCTCCCGTGCGTAGGTGATTACAGTGCTGGTATAGATGATGATGATGGTCTTCTGTTTTCAGGCTTGCGAATGGTCGCCGATTCTGAACGTTCAGAGAAAGTTTTGCTCGCTCCTTAGTTGAACCCTTGGCTGTGCAACATTTGCGCATTATCCAGTTTCTTTGATTTTTGAGGCAAGCATCAGCAGAGACAGTGCGCCTGGCATAGTTTCGTATCCTTTGTGCAGGAAACAGTTGTTCAGTCAGGGTAGTGCAGCTGTCAAGTGGTGGAACTGCACCAGGTATTCTGCAGTGCTCTCAGAATTTGATGCCTTTGGAAGTTTCTACTATATCCCTCGTAACAGTTGAGGTCCAGGTCGCAGCGGACCTTCTGAAAGGAGAGCCATTCGGCAAATTGCGGAGGCACTTGGCAGCGCATGATGCCAGAACGCTTAAGGAGCCGATTTGATGCCCTCAAGTTTGAGGACGTACGTTCAGAAACCCAGAAAGTATTTCGGGATGCTAGGATGGTGCGGAGTCCGCAGATTTCAATCCGCAAGACGAAAGCCTGTCTCATCCAAGCCTTGAAGGAAGGGATATGGAGCCATGATGCGAAATCCTCCGCTTTCCCTACCGTCTGCTGTGCAAGGAACTTAGGAATTCAGCTTCTCGCCAAAACATGTTCTCATCAAACGCTGAATACCCATGAACCCTGAACCCTGAATATCCCAAAGCCCTATATACCCATTATTCTGGTTACTTGATTTAATTTCCTTACCAGCAACCCAGTATTGGCTCTATGGGACAGCAGCTTTTTTTCTTCCATGGCCTAGGTCTGCACAGTTCGGCTTTCCGAGCGACTGGTTGACTTCCAGATCTTCCTGCAACGATGTTGCGCGGAGGAGGTTTGCTGAGAACTGCTGTGCCTGCGAGTGTGCAAGGTCAGTCTTACAAGCTACTTGCAGGAGATCCTAGAATGTACTGCAAGTTCTTGTTTTCAAACAATGCAGGCAAAAAAGCACCTGAGGCAATTGAAAACACAAGCACAGCAAACAACCTCACAAAAAAGCGGAACAGAGCAACGCCTTTTTTTGATGGCTCTTTTTCTGGGATGGTATTTTCTCGGCAAAAAACGAAAAAGGAGTGAGCAACATAGAGGATGGAGGAAGCCCGCAACAACAACATCGACGAAAGCACCCACCCCAACACCAACACCAACACCAACGACAACGCCACGCCAACGCCAACCCCAGCAGCAACAACAACACATTGAAAAGACAGCACACACAAACATAACAACCAAGAAGGCAAAAGAGCGCAAAACAGGTTCTTCGTTGTTGGCAGGCCGTTTTTTGGGGGTTAGATCGGTTAGCTCTTTCTCGGAACAGAAGCATTATTTACCCGAAGCCAGGGACGTGGTTAAAGTGTCCGGCACAAGTCTAATGTGTCCAACATGCCCCGTGGATCCGACTGCAACCACAATCCATTTCAAATTGAATGCTGGTAGCCCTGACGTTGGATCGAGGAATTTGGCCCCGACAGTCGAGCGCTTCCCCGCATTGAGAAGCAGTGGTGTTAGCTGGGAGCTTGTTGACGAGATGCATTCTGTGAGAAAGTGCCCCCAAGTATGGTTTGCTATCCGAGGGCCTCCGCTAGGCGATTTAGATGAGATAGACGTGGGTGCCCAAGGGAGTCTCTGTTCTTGAGTTTGGAGAGCAGCTGGATCCTGAGGCAGCAGATGAGGCAGCCGCATGGTCGGCATCTGCGCGTAAGGCTCATTGTCATCGGTGAGTTATGCTGGCATCGGCATGTTATACGTTATATGCATGCTTGGATGGACTCAGACAAAGCTGTCTTGTGAATCAATTTAGTTTTGGCAGCAGATACGAAAGAATCCAAACGTGGTACGGCCAGTCAAGTTCTGCAACGAAACGAACTGCTTGGGATGTATCGGGAGGTGAATGATCGGCGTGAAGTTCGTGAGCCAGCCTTCAAGATTGATCGGCCCTGGCTTTCCGGAGCCATCAGCCTAGTCCACGACGAACATACAAGGAGTCAGGATTGTTCCGCAAAAGCAGCGGTGACTCGCATGAGGCGCGGCGACCTCGTCTTTTGGAGCAGCTTTGAAGCATTTTTTTGTTCAGTCCAAGTGGGCTTGAAGGCATGTTGCAGGTCTCGGAGGATCCTGCAGTGCTGCAGGGTGTCCATTCCAGTTGACAACCCAACTTCCAGAGTGTTGACGCATGTCAACTCAGGCGTGCAGCTGGAGGCTTGTGCGCCCTGACCTCGTGAGTGCAGATCCTGAGACTTTCCTTCACGGAGCCACATATTTCTGCTGCGATTCAAGGAAGCAGCTGATGATGCGTATCTCTACGCGGCCGCGCCCAAGAATCGGGTCTGGGGCCAACGTTCCGTGCTTGACAGCAGCCGGTTAACCTGTTTTGCCCAGGGACTGACGATGAGCATGATATCCATCACGGGTGGCTGCCTATGACTTCCTCAGTCTCTCTGGAGAGTGAAACTTGCGGACATTCAACCTGCAGGCCCCTCAGAGTCACCAAGTCGCACTCCCACGGTGACAATGCCAGCCGCTGAGAACACTGTCAATTCTGTCCCTTGAGGACTTATTACAAGCCCAGGCGACCCGATGAGCCCAGGAAGTCCATCAAATCCAAGTCCGAGCCAAAGATGTCGGTCAATCCGAGTGAAAGGGGCATGCACTTCTTGCCGTTGCAATCAGGATCAAGGAAGCAATGATGAACAGAATGTGCTGCTGACTTTGTGTTACCTTTTTTGTGTTATGTGTCAGGGTGTGGGGCTCGCCTACCTGTGCGCTGCCAGCCTTCCCCTTGCCAGGAGCGAGCAGATAGATGTCGTTCAAGATGCGTCCTCTTGGCTGCATTCGGTCGTTTCCACAAATAGGGGGACCCAAATATAGACCCCAATGAGTTAGACTATATTCAGATATACCACAACATACTACACTTATGATACATCTAATGGTACCCCTACAATGGTACCCCCTAAACCCTAAACCCTAAACTCCCCTCAATTTTGGGAAGCTCGCATTCCATTCCTTGCACAATTGTCTTCAGACAGACAGTTCGAGCCTCGCTGGAACCGAGGGCAAGCCAAGTGAAAGACTCACGGCGTCAGAGGACGGGATATGAACAATTATAGTAGAGTTTTATAGTATGTTATAAGATAATATAGTAACATAGTGTAATATAGTGTATTATAATGGTATATTATGGTAGAGTATGGGACCTTCAAAACCTGGAAGACAGCTCAACGTCAAACAATCAAATGCTTCTTGCAGGGCAGATGACGAACGGGAAGTTGCCTTCAAGGAGCCGTTGAAAGAGACCTCATGTCATCGTCGCCTTGGCCTGATGCGCTGACATTCCTTCCAGGAAGCACAAAATCAGGCTGATGCCAGCGACGAGGTGCGCCTGCGTGGTTTCATATTGTTGTTCATGCATTCACAGGTGCTGAATTTAGAGTTTTTTTTTGGATCTTAGCTTTCAGGGCGCAAGCAGCAGACATTTTGGGAAGCTTGGGCATTGTGGCCAGGCCGCATCGAAAAGCACTGGCCTGTGGAGGCTTCACCACAAGGATGCGCGACCTCTAGGGATCCTGCTGGATTAGTGAAGAACTGGATCTGGTAAAATTGTCTTGTTTATTGGATGGGACGGGCGCAAAATTTGTAACCAAATCTTACATTTGTAATTCTACAAGCAGGAGTGACGGCGGCAGGATGCTGGAATATCAAATCCTGAAGCCTATGTGTGTCTACATTGCTGCCCCGTCGAATTTCCACATACCTTCGCAACCCTGCATGTGCTTTCTCCCATCAGATCCTGAAAGCATCTGAAACCCATGATCTAAGCTGTCTTCTGAGTAGGAGTCAAAGCGCTCCCGCCTCTCACGCGCAACTTGCCTGCATCTGCTTGGGGGTCTAAAGCCTGAGGATGTTTCAGGGCCTTCACTGGGGGGTAGGCCCTGCTTGAAACGTAATATAACCTGCAGTTTTGATGGCTTGGCAAAATTTGATTGGCACCTCATTCTGTTCCTGCAAATATGCTTCGTTCCCAAACGGAGGTATTCATTTACGGCGACCTATCACATGCCTCATGGGTCATCAGGACACCTTCCATGTCATGCAACACCACGGCAAGTCCAGCAAGCAAAGCCAGCTCTTGGTGAAAGCAAGCGGAGGCATTGCAACATCAAACATTCACTTCGGGCTCAATGTGATGAGAGAGGTTACCATGAGGAGACCCGAATGGCCAAATGTTCAAAGTGTTGCAAACGTCCTGACATTGGATGGAAGGCGGCAGTGCGTGCTTTCCGCATACGACATGATTTTTGGCCAGTTACATGTGGCAAGTGCCTGTGGTGCTCTCTTTTGTTTTGCTGGCTTTATCCCTGATCGTGCTTCATCCAAGATCACAACCTGCCGGAGGCAAGTTGCGTTCGTTTTCGCTTAACCTGCCTGAGCAGTTCTGCTATGCTGTGCTTCATCCCCATATAATCCCTATATAGTCCGCACATACAGAGTATAATCCCTGCAAAATGATCATGTAGAAGCTGCATAGAACCCCATAGAATCCTCATAATGTAATTCCCTTACCCTAAACCCTAAACCCAATATAATTTCCAGATAGCCTCTGTGCAACCCCTAACTCCTCGGTTCAACTTGAGCGGCTCAAGCCGTAAAAAGTGAGGGTTTCCCAAAATTAGGGGTACCTTTTTGGAGGGTCCCATAGTAAGGATTATAGTATTTTGGGGTCTACATTGGTGTCCCCTTACTTTGGGAAATTACCAAGTGTCCCGCCGTTGCCCAGCCATGCCGTTGGGATTGCTCACCATCTTTGACTGCAGGATGCCGACATGCCATTGTTATATGAGGTATAGTTTAAACTCCTTAAAGGGGTTATAGAGGTGATGATTATAGGGCTCACTCAGGCGGATATTAGGAGTTTAGACTAAAGTTCATATGGGGATTATATGGGGTGAATGGGGACATAGGGGTTGTATAAGGGGCCGTTTCTTGATTCGGCACTGCTTGGGCACCTGCATGAAGCTAGCAAGGACCGATGGACTTCCTTTCGCTGCTCGATACTTGCATGAGGTGGCCTGCTGAGTCGGCATATCACTGCTCAACCCCACGAAAGCATGTAGCGCCGCGGTCGGTTGCGTCAAATCATGTGAGCCATGCGTCGCATGCACTCTGTAGACATGCCCAGGTGATACATCACTGGGCACATGCAGCAAGAGAGCTTGCCACGCACAGATCTAAGTTGTGCATGGTACCACCACTGAGCACGCAATGGCATGTTCTTCAGGGACAGTGAAGCCCATCAAGGTTTGGTGCTGGCAGTAGTGTCCAGCTCGGCTTGTTCCTGGTGCGCCGAGGAGGCGCAGTTCTTCCGGACACTGGCCAGGGTAGCTAATATTATGTATGTTGAGGCGTAGAGCAAACGATTCCATGGGGCACCTATGCACGCGATGTTGCCACAAGCCAAGGTTCTGAGATCTCATGATATCTCATGTATCCTGGCCAGCCAGCCTGTCAAGCTTCCAAGGTACACACGCTGCTGGACAACCTGCAGGCGCGTACTTATCACAACACTTCCGAAATGGCTGCTTCTCTGCTACAGGGGTTTGACAGTACGCAGTTTCAACAAGTCTTTTATTAGTTAACGACAAGGTAGCTCTGTCAGGCGTCGTGGGTCTCCGACTGTGATGTCAGCTCTCCAGAGTTACACAGCCAGGAGGCAGAGCCAACTGCAACTGTCTTGTCGAACTTCGGTCAAGTTCAAACCTGTGGTCATGTGCCAGGACGCCCTTTGCGTTGCTTTGGAGTCTGCGGCAGCTTCTCTACTTGCAGGCCCCTTCGTGAATCACCAAGGCCAGACGTTAGGTATCTTCTCAGAATCCGCGTGCAGGTGAGTCAGAGGTAAGCGGCCGTACGCTTGAGGTCCGAATGTGAGCGGCGGTCCACTATCGAACCTGATCTGTGCTGCCAGGTTTGGACATTCTCGCCGCACAAGCTTGCGTGGCTCTCCCAGCCGACTTGATGCGGATGTTGCCCGTGTGTGGCCTCAGCCAAGGTGCTGTCCACGGGCTTCTGTTCCTCGGCTTTGCAAGAGGATAAGAGGACCAAGCCCCACTCGTGTGCACTGCAACTGCACAACTGGAAGGTGCCCCTCCGAAGCCTGCAAGCAGCTGGAGTTGATTTGACGGTGGGACCACATGCTTGCGCTTGCTTGAAATGGGTAGTCCGTCACGATGCGTGGTTGCTTGGAATTTGCCAGTCTGTCAAGCTATTGGGTGACGAGCTGTTCAGGAGCCAACGTAAGGTGACATGTCTGTAGTCCAGCCTTGGTCATAACCTGATCCTGGCAAACTGAGAAAGCGCAGGAGTGAAGAGAATCAGCATGAACGAGCCGTCGACGTGAAGGCTGAAGCAACAGATGATGGACGGCTGTAATCACCTCCTTCCAGAGAATTCGCGTCTGTTGTATGTTGAAGACATACGCGAGAGCCATGCACAACAGAAGACATGGATAAAGATCCTTTGCTTTGCTGTTGCTTCTGCTCGTCCCTCCTCCCAAGCACGCTTGTAGCACTGCCTACATGTTTAGGGGACAGACAATTGATTACCAGTCAGCATGCGCGCAAACCTGGGATGCAGGAAGTTGACTCCTGGTCGTACTGAAGTATATATCAAGGGCAGGGTACTATGCACTTGGAGAGTCAAGTCCAAAGTCCTCTGGCCTTATGCAGCCAGGGATAGGAGATGAGCTAAGTACCGCACCGCGCCCCAGATGCGGGTAGGCGATAATCGGAGTTTTCTCACAGTTGATGGCGCCAGTTTTCCATGGGCGAGGTAGATCAAGAGGCGCTGCTGGAGTGGGTAAATTCGCTGGAAGTCGTCGGTGAGTTGATTCAGACGCTTGATGAGCTAGCAAATGGCAAAATCTTATTGCGAGTGATGCATGACATAAATCCGGACACTTTCCCGGACAAGGCCTCATATGGATCTGAGCTGAAAGTTCTGCTAAATGGCCTGCTTGAGCATTTCAAAGGTCGGCAGGGCTGTGCTGAGAGTGTGGTCCGCTACTGGCTTGAGGAAGGGCGCCGTACTGTCACCCCATCCATGCTGACTCAGCTCGTGATTTGGGCCACTTTGGACAACGAGCTTCCTAACCATACGCGCTACGTGCAGACATGCCAGGAGTTGAGTGCGTCGTCCGCGGCAGCCATCGTTCTGATAGCAGAGCGCTTCAGCCTTGACATGGACTCTTCCCCCGTGGCAGCCATGATTCCTGGAATACCTCGAATGTCTACCAGCTTTGGATCTCCTGGCGGTTCTGGTCCACTGCCTCGCTCCGTGTCCGCAGAACTTCCAGACTTCTTAGAAGTAGGCCTTGATGCAGAGACGCGGTTTCGGAGACTGAAAGAACATTACATAGCCCTGAAGGAGGAACAAGAGCGCTGGGAAGAGGAGAAGAGCAGGCTCCTTGCAGATATCGAGACCGAGCGCACGAAGCGGTTGGAAGCGCAAGAGAAGGAGCGGCTGGCTCAGGCTGAGCTCCGCCTTGCAGATGAGGCCGCCGACCGTGCGCGGGAAGACCAGCGCCTGTCGCTTGAAACAAAGCTTGAGCAGGAGGTATGGAAAAGCGCGGCCGAACTGAGGCAGAGAGAGCAAGAAGTTGAGCGCTTGCGCGAGGAAGTAGAGATTGCGCGTGTGCAAGCACAAAGCAATCAGAAATTGCAGTCCCAGCTGGAGATATACAAAAAGCGAATGGAGGAGGCTCAGGCATGGAAGCGCGAGAAGGATGAGCTGAGGAGGCAATTGGATGAGATCACTACCTCAAGGCAGGCTGGCTCTGGCACCATGGAGCACTTGCATGCTCGGCTGGCAAGTCTCCGAGATGATGTAGCCTCAATCTCCCGTGAGAGGGATGAGGCGCGGCTGCAAATTCAGCTGCTTCAAACCCAACTTGAAAAGCAGGCTGCGCAAAGCTCTGACGGCTCAGTCCCACAACCAAAGCCGGTAGCGCCGGAGCCAAGTGGACCTGGGCCAGGGGCCTTGTCTGGCCAACTGGCAAACGCCAGGGATCCTGAGCAGGAGAGAATCATCCGTGACCTCAAGACACGATTGGACTTGCGTGACCGGGAACTCCAGGTTCTGCAATGGCGTGGGCAGGCTGAAAGCCATGCCCTGCAAACGCAAGAGTCTCTGATGGCGTCCTGCTTTCATGAACTGGGGCTGCGATACCATCAGCTTCAAGTTCAGCACGATTTGTTGACCAAGCAGCTGCGTGCAGAAGGCAAACGCTCCGGAGAAAGTCCTGGTGCACTGCAGGGCTTTGACAAAGCGGCTAGACTTGGCTTGCTTGACTCCTTCTTCGTGTGCCTTGCAGGAAGTTGCAATGCCTGCTACCAGAACTTCTGTGTCCACCACTTAGCGTCTGAGCAAGCCTGAATCTGATTGTTTAGTTTTCCTCTTTACTAGAGAAGCTGTTCGCGGCGTGGTCACCTGCAAAAGCATAAGTTTCCCGAGGATGCGTGAGCGAGTGGTCAGTTCTGGCTAGACACTCCTTTGCTAAAGCCTTTGTCATGTGCGCAAGCAGGAGTTTTTTGTTGGGTCACTTTCATGTTTCTTTGCTGCGAGTTTACGACACCTTCGAAATCGCGTCTTGCTGAAGCTCGTGGTCAATTTGGAATTGTGCCCTGGCATGTGCTGGCTTTTGGGCTTCTTGTGATACATCACAATGGCCGGACCAGGCCCCGCAAGGCTCCTGCCATTGCAGAGGAGTGGAAAGTTGATGCTGTCTACCAGGACAGATACCAGTTCTGATGTCCTGGGAAGGGTGCATACCCCTTGCGCAACAGTGAGGAAAACTTGGATCCCTGCTTCGACACTGTTGCTTGTACCTGTACCCTGGCGTGGAACTGTGATGCAGTTCGCTAATTAAGGTGCTGTCAAGTTCTGTCGGAATGGCTCCGTTCAAAGTGCAATTTAATTTCTGGAAGCCCTGGTGTAGAGCTCAATCATACTTCAAGCTGAGGTAGTCCGACTCTCCTTCTGATGCCCGGCCAGCAGGAGGCACGACAAGCCGCTTTTTAGATCTATCGGTGAAGAAATTGGAGAGCAAGTCTCTCGCACAGAGTAAGGCTTCAACGCCTGCAAGGCTGTCACTTCAAATCTGGGGAAAACAGAGTGTCAAGCTGCCTGTACACAAAGAAGCCTCGTGTGGTGCTGGGGCTGATGTTATGTACCATTTACTGCTCTTGCAGTCCCTTTACTTGAAGTGCTTTGTGCCAACAAAGCCACACACTGTCATGCTGGTGAAAGTCAATGGATAGTCTATGTTCGTATGAAAAGTTTTCAGCATACTGCAGGATGGTGAAGCTTGGCGCAGCTTTGGTGCTTCTGGGCTCAGGCGGCTA